GGAACTTGTTTGTTCATTAAGGCCTACCAAAGCATTTCTCGAGAAACTTTATCATTTTTTTTTCAAATCGATAAATATCATATATAGATCTTTCTATCTCACCCCATAATCTTCCAACAAAAGCATCAATAGGTGAATTACCTCTATTATAGAGCGTACTGTCATAAACCTAAATTAATTTTCAAAATAGTTATCTCATGTTGCAATCTACATTCAATCATTCTCTCTCAAAGTTTTATAGTATGACTCATAAGCTTTATTCTTCGATAAATCGAACAATTTTGTATATTACATTTAATTCTTGTATAAAGGTATTAGAGTATTTTTCCTTCATTATTCTGACATTTTTTAAGTGAATTAAATTTTGTTGAAAATATCCATCAACCATTTTATCTCTATTTCATCTAACTAGTTTCAAACTTTAATTAGGATTCCATTTGATCCTATAACTTTCTTTGCTTTCATCATTCTCAAAACCTTTTTAATCTCATGCCTTTCAATATTATATTTAAATAAAAGATTTATTTCCTTAGAAAGATATGTTAAGCTCACCTTCTTTATGCTCAAAATTATCACCGAAGAGATTATCAAATTAAGTTAATATATAACTACATTTAAAAATGATAAACAAACCTGTTCAGGAGCATAATCAAGTTTAAAATATAAACATGCTTGTGCTTGGTCCAAAAAATGTTCACAAAAACCTTCACTGATAGCAGCAAGTGGGGTTCTGTGCAAGTTGATTAGTCCATGCATGATGGTATTGGATCTGGTTGTGGTTTTATTATTAGGATTGTAATCATAATTAGTGGCCTAAGTCAAGCGGGTTTCTCAAATGAGTCTTTCAGACCCCAAGAGACAGGTAACCCTTTTGGGCTTGATGTTGTTAATTAGTGGGCTGCACTCCAACTATTTGCTCTCGAAAAAGGAGGTCTGAAATTTCCTTGTTATAATGCTTCAAATAATTGCTTACAAATTTTTAATTTAGATGGATAGCTTTTACTAAAATTTTAAAAATAAGGATATGGTGCATAACTTAATTTATTTATACAATGCCAATAATTATGTGGTTTGAAATAGTATTGGACTCTTAGCTTTAGTGATTAAAATTCTAATTCTAATAATCTTAAGTATAAAAAGTGAAATCCAATATATTTAAGGTTCAAATTATTTAAACCTCTTTTTTTTTTTAAATTATGATTTTTTTTATAGAAAAATATTAATCAGTATCTAATAATTAAGGTAATATTTTAAAAAAGAAATATGTAATTAATATATAATTTCTTTTCGAATTTAGTAAAATTAATGCATGAAATACAATAACTTTTTATTAAATAGTATTTTCTCTTATTTTTAAGTTATGATTTTATTTATATAAACAAATATTAATCGGTATATAATAATTAAGGTAATATTTAAAAAAAGAAATATGTAATTAATATATAGTTTCTTCTGGAATTTAATAAAATTAATGCATTAAATACAATAACTTTTTATTAAATAGTATTTTACCCACTAACCCTATCCTTTTAAATTTGCGCATAACAAAACCACAACTCTTAAACCTAAATCAATTTAAGACATTTAAATTGGTTCAAATCTTGATGGTCTGATTGTGTTTTCCCATGCCACTTTGTTTATTTGCATGCATAAGAAACTTGAAAACAATTAGTGGGAGATTTTTCAAATCCCATGTCAGAAATAGTATAATTTTCCTGGTGGTTGACTCTGGACCATATATATCAATGGGAATTCTTGGATCCTGTTCTCTTAAACCAAACATTAAACATCAATGTCACCAATTTCATGCTATGGAAATTCACGATGAGTTATCGCATTCGTCACTTTGTCTAACCTAATAATTACCATTTATAAAGTCTTGACTAAGTTTTTTCCTTTTGGCTCTACAAAACCTACCCCATTTTATTTCTAGAAAATAAAAGCAAAAAAATTGATTAAAATCATCATTACTAATGAAGACTGGATTTTTATTAATGACAAAAAGAATTGATTGATGATTAAAGGGTATTTATAAACACTTGTTAAAATTAATTAAATTGATATTTTAAAAAATGAGTTATCATTTAACACTTTGATTTTATCAAATTAAAAAGAATACAATAATTATAATTTTTTCTTATATGTCACCTTTATGAGTGCTTATAGAAACTCTTTAACATTTTGCAAGGACAAATTTTCTTTTATTTTTAATTTTAATCATTTTCATTTGAAGTTCAACTTCTAGTGAAGACATGTATGGAGTATATGTGTGGTCGGTCAAATTGTTATCTTTGTTTTGCTTGAAAAAAAAAATTTATTTTTAAGTATGCCAATCTTGATCCAAGAGTTGCAATGTCAAAGCATGGCAACCATTATTTCTGTAATTTTCTAGTAATGTTTTTGGTGTAGTATAAACTGCATGTGACGTCTTATAATTAAGTGTCTGTGTGTAAAAAAAAAAAAAATACATCAGAATAATTAAGTTATATTATATATTTTACTCGTCTTGCTATAAACATATATAATAAAAACATAAAACTGTTGAGAAATGGTAACTTTTTTTAAATGAGAAAATTATCGGTAAATTTCATTCATTTTTACGTTAATTTAATTATTTATTATTATTTTAATATAATCATAACTTATATTTGATACGACTATATTTTCAAAAAAAGAATATTGCAGATACCATCTCAACCAGTATTACAAAAGCACCCTAAAATCTAACTTCAGGATTCCATAAAGCTGACATAATCAACAAAATTCCATTTTTTTTTTTAATCTAAAGTCTGAAAGGAATATGCGAATGATTAAGAAAGGTACTGCAGGGTAGGAAACGAGAAAATTAAAACCCGATAATATCAAGAGAAATTCAACTTAGCAAAACCATGAGTTCAAATTTTTCAGAATTTTTAAGAGAAATTGTATTTTTAGTCTAATATTTTTCTGATGTCAAAAGTGTGTCACTTGACAATAAAGTGGGGCCAGTATTCAATCTTTGTCTGCCTTGTGCTTGTGCAAGCGCAAGCGGTTCCTTGAAGCAAACCCTTGACCCCAGCAACTTGGTTTAATTAAACCACTTGTTTTGATTCAAATGCCAATGTTTTTTTTTTTTTTTCTATTTTATGTTGTTGTCTCGCACAAGAGGCAAACTCTAATGGCTGAAATTTTAAAACCATTTTTTTAACTTAAAATATCCCAACACTAAATGGTTGGTTCATAGTTGTGCACATGTGCATTGATTTCATCGTATTATTGTTTAAGAATGTGAATAAAATTTTATGTCAAGAAACAAAAGAATTTGAATGAAATGAAAGGGAAAAAAAAATCTAAGTTTCATTATTATCCCATTTAATGCAATTTGGATTCAATGAAGATTGTCATTTTTGGAATTTATCAAATTCTTTTAATTTGATCATAGATGAATTCAAACCCCAAACCTTGTTAAAAAGTGAAACTATATCTGCTCCTAGTAACAAGAAATTATGGATGCTATTATATTCCAAAATTGACCTAAAAAATCATATACTCGAACGCCAAAAAAAATGGTGAAAATCACCAACTTAAGCATTAATCTAATCAAGTGCATGAGAGAGAGAGTATTTCATGGGGGTTGACTTTGTTTCAAATGCTTTGTTTGATAATCCCTTGGAGATGAATGTAAATGTGAAAAGATAATATTTGCACATCCAATGCCTTGAGACCCGGCTAGCTTGGCTCGTCCATCCATCCATCCATGTTGTGTTGTGTCATAATCTCAACAGAAATTCCGCAGAATCTTCACGCTTTGTTTCACAGCACTATCAATTTTCAAACCTGCCTCCTCTCCCTATTGTTTTGGTCAACATAGGATCCAAGTTTTACTCTATAAAATATTAAATGTCTGCACCTCATAACTCTTTCTTAGCTTCAATCCAAGACAACCCCCACTCCTGACGGTTCCTTCAAACATTTAAGGATGCTAACTTATATTATAAAACATTTCAAGATCCGATAAAAGAAAATGATTTTTGATTTTACACATTTATCGCTATTATTTATTCATATTGACGTGGCACACTTGCTCAACTAGGATCCTTTTCTGTAACAGGCTCCAGTAAAGTGAGGATGCGTTCTCTGTTTGATTGACATAAACATTAACTTTTGGGACCAAACGTTGTTTTAGTGGCATAGACATAATTGTCATTTTTATAACAAATGAAAGTAATCATTCCATGATTATCAAACACATTCAAGTATTTTTCACATAATCTTTAAATCAACTCTTACCAAATCCATATAAATTAATATTTTGTCATTTAAAAGTTGTTGTTGCCCAAACAACTTCCACACCCTTTGTAGTTTTAGATTATCGATCCAAGTTGTTGTAAACGGTCTAATTTTTGCTTCTCTAGCACCATGGTAGCCACTAAATGTGAAACAGATAACCATTTTCTTTGCAAGGTTTGTGGTTTGGTTTTTATCCCAATCTGAGATGTTTTCAGACAGACATGATTAAAAAGCAGAGGGATTAGGATCTCTAGAATTGGGGCAAGTTATTGCATAATAAGACGTGGACAAAGACTCTCATTATTATCTGTCCTAAGCTGAAAATTTTTATTTAAAATCAAAGAAACGGGAAGAAAAAACTGATAAGACATTCCTATCTAGGCAACAGAAATGTCTCTCCCATCTATAAACAAACAACATAAATCCATTTCAGTCTATAGGTCTATGGTTCTCTTGAATTAAGTTATTAAAAGCTCTGACTTTTGTGCTTGCTAGAAAGTTATTTCAAAATCTAAGCTTAACAACAGGCGGTCGAGGATGCTTTTGTCTGATCCTTGCAATGTTCAAAGAACACCTTATCAGACCATGACCATTAAATGTTCAGACTTTCAATGGCTACCTCATCATGTTGAAAATGGTTTCATTCAATGAAAAACAAAAGGAGTTTTATGACTTTTTAAGTATAGTCCACATACACCGAAGCAACCAATTAGGAATTCTTCATACATGTCTCCACTGAATCAAATGTCAGAAACTCCATGCTAAATGCAAAGAAGATGGCAGATAAGTCATGATAAATAACTTAGAAGTCATCTTATACGAAAAGTTTTCTCCACTTATTAGGCAGATAAGCCAAAAAGCCATAACTAGCAACATTTTATTCAGCATTTTGCGGCCATATACACTCCATGAGGAGCAAAATGACGGCCAGTGATTTTTCTGCCATAAGCTTACAGTTTCTAAGGACTCGAATTAGAAAATAAGATAATTTAAGCTAAGTGACAAAATGAGGTTTACAGTATCCCAAAAATGGGTGAAGTGGAGCTTTGCCACAACTACCAAGAAGAAATGAAATGAAAATAAAAACAAAAGACTTGAAAACTGTACAATTAGCGAAAATTCCTTGATCTCTATCTTCCTATATTGTCACTGCCTGAATCCGTAAGAATTGTTAGCCTCCTTGCTGTCTTCAGAAACTCACTGCAAAACAGGAAGCATTAAGAAAACATAATTAACATCAGACAAATCAAAATCAAATGTTTACTAAGCAAAAGGAAGTAATGCTAAGGAACCACTAGAACCTGAAGGGTTCATCTCCTGTGTGTTTAACAGAACCGGCAGCGTCACAATAGAGCACACTGCTCAGCATCTCTGAACTTTCTATGCCAAACATGTTGGCCAGCTTCCCATGCAGTTCTTCATATGATCCAAGAACCGAAAGATCAAGGGTTCTACCCACATTCTCTGATTCCATAAAAACTTTGCAATGACCAGTCTCCAAGCCTAGATCAGATTTTTTATGCCCTTTACACCAACGATACCCTTCATCTGAAGAATTCTCCTGAGCATTTTGATGTAATGCAGATCCCAAGCCATCCGAAGAAATTGCAGTCTTCTCTGTATTCCCGTCTGATGAACTGTTTCCAACTGTATCACCTGAGCAGCTTTGAGAACCCTGCTGCTCACTGAAAATGACTCGACCAAACAATAAGATATGGGGCGTCTTTATTTCATTGCTTTCTTTCAAACTGCGGGTAGGATTTCCCATTGTTAGCAAGGAAGATATATTCCTATTGTTCCCATTGTCACTGGAGAGTCTAGTAGGTCGGGCAGCATGATCAAGTTGATGAAAACGAAGTGGAAAAAGACCCGACTGCAGCTTGTTGGACTGGAGATCTGATGAAGATAAGCCGAATGTTGCATGCCTGGCTCCCTGTATGCCTCCAGGAATGTTGTCTGTAATGCAACATACGGGGCTGCTGGACCTGAAAGAGCTGCAGGAAAATGATGGCATTGGAATTTGGCTAAGCGGGGAAAAGTCTGGGTGTTGTGGAAGTCGCATCTTTTTCCTTGGTGGTGAGAAAGGATTAAGATGGATTGCTGGCATGTTTGTGACCAATTCAACCAACCATGGGCTAACGCGCTTCACATTATGGAGTAAATCTGGCTCATCCCATGCTACCTGAAAGATGTTAATTTGAGAAAGGATTATAGAAGCAAACCTATGAGCAGAACATAATGCTCAGAAAATATGGATGCAATTATTCTTCTATCTTTCGAGGACTAAGTTGAATTCTGAAGGACAGTAATCAAGGACATGGAGTTGCTAAATCAAAGACAATCTGCTAAGCAAAACTCTGAAGATGACTTATGAGAATATTCAAAATACCTGCAGAAGACGCCATGGAGAATCAGGCCAGAGGATGGGATCAACAACCTGAGCAGCAGATATTGTTCCCATGAACCAGCTAATCCGTGAAGAGTCCTCAGTTTCAAAAGCCATTTTGAACCTCATTCCAGGACACCACTGGATTTGCATTGCAGCTCTAACTGATGAGGCCTTCACACAGAACTCAGGAGTGCTTGCTCGCGGATAGTAAACAACCTCAAAGGGCTGCCAATTGGCAGCACGAGTTGCAGCTTTAATCACAGAGTCAACCCTTACTTTTCCCCTCAGATCCCCATTAGAATCCTTCCTCATCAATCTACTATCCTCCTCCCTCAAGAATGGAGAATAACCCCCAAATTGTGAAGCAGAGCTTCCACCCCCTGAATTCCAACCAGATGGATACTCATGCCCACTCCCAATTCCTCTCTTTGCCCTACGAATTCCCACACGAAGATCTCCATTCTCTGCTCGCAGAAACACAATTGAATCACCAGCGACAAGCTTCTTGTGATTCACAAAATTACTCCACCCTGTAGTCAAAAGATGCCTACGAGGTGTTCCCCTATATATATGCCTAAATTTCCAAACCTCACCATGCACATCCTTTGCAAGAATGGTCTGAACAGGAGGTTCTGCATTATAATCCAGGCTAGGAAATATAGTCTCTGCACAATAGCGCGGAACTGAGAAACCCCCACCATTATTAGCGTCGGATTGAGTCAATGTCTTAGCAAAGGAAGCTGGTTTTTCAGGATTCTCCATCCCACTATTTCCATCAAAATCATCATCTTCATACCCAAAATCATTCTCTCTCAAAGGAACCAACATAATTTTAGAATAAACCTCATCAGTTTCCGGATCTGCCATATACTTGATGGCAGAAATTCTACATAGGATAAGTGAAGGAATCGGAAGACTCCCGAAATCTACATTTCCATTGGCATGTTCAGCATGACCCTGAGGGAAGTAGAACACCTTGGAGTTCACTGACGGCATTTGTACCATGCCACCAGCACAGGCATGCCATAGTTGAGGATCTAAGCATTTTTCTGAATTCTTCGGGAGTTCTTTCCTAGAATCCATGACTGTTATCATTTACCAATTCCGTTGGTCCAAAGCATCAAACAACTACCCTTCCTTTGCTCTGTTTTCTCACTTGATAATGATTCTGCTTTAATGAAAATTAAAATCTTATCTTAGTAAATAAGTAAAGCAACAAATTTAAATATATCTACCAAAAAAATATAAAAATTATAAAAAACTGATAATTTTTTTTTTAGTAAACAAAAATTGTCAATACACTACTTAAATGGACGAAAATCATTACATAACTAAAAAGCAACCAAATGCGTCAGATAAATTGGCTAATATTGAACAAAACCAAAAAACAAAAAAAAAAATGCAAAACAAACAGAAACGGAATCTTTCATAGTTATGTTACACCATATTCTCCACAGAAAAAAAAAAAAAAAAAAAAACCATCCAAAGAATTCACCTTTAAAGAGAAAAGTGCAAATAGAAAAGAATTAAAAGACCTCACCTTTCAACAAAAGGAGATATTTTTCCACCAAAAGTAAGACAACCCAGATTAAAATGAACCCAAATAAGCACAAAAATACAGGAAACTGAATCCTTTAAAGCCAAAACAGAAAATGAGAGAGAGATATATCAATTCAAAGACTTTGAGAAGGGAAAGAAAAAAAAGAGAAAACCCAGTTTCAAAAACGAAAAAAAAATAGGGTCGTTGAGTTAAGGGAGAGTGAACAGAGAGTGAAAGCTTTAAAGAAGAAGAGAATAGAAAGAGAAGACAGAATTTAACAATGAAGATTTTGTGTTGATTGCCGACCTAAGACTGAGAGACAAACAGACTGTGAATAGGAAAAATATAATATAAATAATAAAAAAGAAAGAATTTTTATTTATTTATTTATTTTTTGGGATGAGAACTTGAGAAGGAAACAGAAAGGTTTTGTTTTAGTGGATATAGAAGGCAAATAGTCCAAGACCAAAGAGAAATTCAGGTGATTTTGGTTTTTTTCTTTTGGATTTTTTTTTAATTCATGTTTTTTTATTTTTTCACTAGAATTAATTCTTCTTCTTTTACTTTTGTTTTTTATATGTTACTCTACTCTCCATTACCCAAGAGTGAGTTACACTATTTTAATTATTTCAAAATAAATCTCGACTTTTTGTATTTTTTGATCTCTCAATTTTGTCCCAAAAAAAAAATTCTAAACAAAGCTTTTTCATTGAATATGTAATATTTTCAATAAAATCACATCATATATCAAATATGTACTTGAACTTGAAAAATTATGAGCTAATGTTGAATTTGAAATTCTAATTTATGACAATTTTCCAAGATAATCTAAGAACTCCATTCAAATACTTTTATTGAACTTACCAATGTAGTTATTTTATTTAATATATTGATGACAAAGTAATTTAATTAAATGTAGTAATATACTGTTCCTTTAAACATTATGATAATCAAACTTTCCTATTTTAATAAACTTCACTCATCTTTATTATATATTTGTTCATACGACAATTTTTGCTAATTTTTAACTATAGAGATTGAACATCTCCATTAATTTTCTTAAAAGAAATTAAATAAAAATGGATGCTTTCTTTAAAACTCTACTTATCTCGCAATCTTAATGTTTGATTTTAGTAAAACTAAAATATGTATGTCACTTAAGAATTAAAATTCAGATGATTAGAATTAGAACCTTTTGCAATTTCTTTATATCATATTTGTATAATTATTTTATTTTCACTTTTATAACCCAAAAACAAGAAAAAAAATTACAAATTACAAAACCTAAAATACAAGTCAACCAGCACATGGTTGTGGCCTCATTTTGACAAGGAGTGCCCACCACGCGACAAAGAAGCAAGTGGGAACATATATCCCTTATAAATCAGAAAAGGAGACACCCAATTAATAAAAATTAATGAGAATTTATTTTTATATTTAATAAATCTCTGTTAAATCAAATAATTTGGATAATCCCAAAAAGAAAGATTTTTTGTTTCTTCAACTTTAAATATCACGCTATTTTGCTGGAAGATATCACGAGTTTGTTGTACAATGAAATCAAGGCTGACTACAGTAAAGTTTCATCTTGTCCGAGGCCCTAACTCTTCGGGACTAACCATGGTTAATTAACTCTTTGGTTTTTTAATTAGCTTTGGTTAGGTTTTTTAATTTGCTTTAATTAAACCCACTAATTAACCACGGTTTTTGTTCCGTGGTCAACACCATGACTCTTCTTTCACTGGTCGTTAGTGTGTTTCCTGATCTTTTGTATTGGTCATAGGGACATGATTTGATCCTTGGTTCTCGGTTAGGTTTAACATTAAAAAACAAATTTACTTAATTTAGAATATAAAATTACAAATTCACCCTTCAAATTTACACACAGATGATTTCAAAGCTCTGAGCATGTTTAAGCTTTAGTTAGATTAGACGGGGTCTTAAGTGTCACAAATCATTTTATTGAAATTTTTTTATGCTTCTATGAACGTGGAGTTCATAAAATTGAATAAATAATCGATTTAAAGTTATCTTTTCAAAATTTTTTAATTAAACAAATGTAAATTTTTTTTATTACGTCAAAATGATCAAATCCTAATACAAGTAAGAGAAAATAAAAAAAATTTAATTCGAAATCAAGTCATTAATATCTTTTTAAACATATTTAATCACTAAATCAAAAGTTTAAGGACAACAAATTAAATTGAGTTATCTTATTATCAAGTATAAGTTTTGCAGGCGATCAAAGCATGCACGCTATTATCTTTAAGCTTTGTCAGTTGGATATTTTGTCTTAGTTTCAATAGAAATGGATGTGCTAATTTTGATTATAGTTGAGAGATTCAAGCGAGATACTATGCTTGAATTAGGGAATTTTAGTTGGTAATATGACGGTGACATTGAGATTAAGGACAATTTAATCTGTTTGATTACATGCGTAGTATGAAAAAGCCAAATTATTCGGCACCTGATTAGGACCTTGGTCGGTCTAGTTTTAAAGCATAATTTTAGGCTACCAAAATTTGAGACGACAAAGCAAAATTGGTTTTTGTGTAATATTTCAACTGATATTGCTACCTTAAAGATTTTAAATGTGTGCATTTTAGATTATATTGAAATATAAACTCATATTTATGGTTAGAGGTGAATTCTGAATTATGAAAATTTTTAATCGAAAAAAAAAAAGAATATTAGGGATTAGAGATGAATTATGAAATATAAATCCTCAAATAATGGTTATGGTTAATGTTATTTTTGGATACATGTAAGAGTACTGTACATTTTAATTATTTATCAAATAGTTGTCATTATTGGTTATTAAGTGAAAAAATATTTGATAAATTTTGTTTAGTAAAAAAATGAAAATTTAATTTGAACTACAAATATATCTTTTCCATAAATATTAATTATTTGATACAGACCAGATACCAATCTATATGTACTATATATAAATGAATATTTAGGACAGCATTAGTTATGATAAAAGGTGATACATTGCCAATTTGTCATGCTCTTCAATCTTTCTAATATTATTGAAATTGATAAGAATCATCTAAACATCCATGACCAAAAAAAAAAATTTTAAGTATGATATGAATTTGTAAATTATTTTTTATAATAAAATAAAATTTTTAAAAATAATGAAGAATTCGAATCTAAATCTTTTAGATTAAAAAATATATCTAAATGCTTTCTTTTCTGTTTTAAGTATGAATATTATTTTTATATATTATATTTGTTTCTGAAGTATTATGTGTACACACGAAAATAATGCAAAATATAAATAAATGATCAAATTTGAATAATCGTAATAATTAAAACAGGAGAATATTTTTAATATTTTTAAGCTCGAAAATGTAATGAAAAATATATGAATAATTAAAATAATGAAAAATAGTATAATTTTTTTCTTTTTCTAACTTTTATTAAAAAAAAAATGTTAACTAACAAGTAAGGGATAATCTCACAAAAGCATCAAAGAATCGAGACAATCTCATAACTAATCCACGGCAGTCAGAAAGTGACCCTTTAACCAGACACATAAGCTACAAATAGACAGACATGAATGGATCGGACAGAAACAGTCGGAGATGAAACGAACATTTGAAAATGACACCTACCTTGTCTTTGCCCACCCACATCCCCAAACTCTTTCCCAAAAAAAAAAAAAAAAAAAAACTTAGACCCGTACGTAAACCCTTCATTTTATTCAAAATTTTTCTGAGATAAAAAGCAAAGCTTTAATTCTAATAAAAAAATTTAAATTTTAATTTGATTTGATTTTATCTATTTTTAAAAAAATAAAAAAAGAGTGATTTTGGCTATTCATTCATTTATTTATTTGTCTCTTGTTTTTGGTATTCTTAAAAAAATATATTTTTATATAACAAAATAAAAATTTAAATAAAAACCTTACTAATAGATTACAAAATAATCATTTTTTTAAAATAAAATTTTACCAATATATTAAAAAATCTTATAATTTTATTTATTTCAAAAATATATATAAATAAAAAGATTACTCTTCATAAATTAAATTTTAAAAAATCTATGATTAATAAAATATTTTATATTTTATCCTATCAAACTATCAAAAGTTTGCATCTTAAATTAAATTTTATCAAACTATTAAAAGATTTAATATATTTTTTAAAAAATAATCTTATAATAAAATCTCATGAAATTATTAGGAGATCTGCATCAAAATAAATCTTATTAAATTATTAGAAGATTTTACTAATTATTTCTTTAATTAAAATTTAAATGAATATAATGACGAAGCCTCTTCAGGGTGGCATACTAGTCTCCATAAATACTTTTGAGGTGAGAGAATTATTTTAAATTGCTATCAAACTATTGGAGTAATTTTAAGATTAATTTTTAATACTAAATATTTTGGTAAATTATAAATATGGTTAAGGGTTGAATAATTTGAAATCAAATTGATACCATCATCTGGATGGGCGCTATGCACTATAATCTTCCTCACTCGTAACCGAACTTTCGAGTCTAAAATCTGATTTTGTAAACTAAAATATACTATTTAAAAATACCTAAGTTAATCTTAGGACTCCTCTTTAAATAGAACAAATTCGATCAAGTAGCCAATCAAACTTAAACAAAGAAGATTTATGGTGACTCTTTTAATCTATATTTAACGATAGGTACACAGATTTATACAGTATGACAATTTGACGATTTTACTGGAGATACTACGAGTCAGGCCAGTAAATAATTTCTTGTTATCTAAGCTTATCATAATAAATTTGAGATTTTTTTCCTTATTTTTATTTATTTATTTATTCATTTTCATATATCTGTCATTTATTTCAACATACATAACATAAGCTCTACACCCAAATTCTGTTCCCTATAAGGGAGTAAAGTACCATGCCTTCATGAAATTTCATGTCTCTGTATAGGCTAATGAAAAACTCCCACTCAAATTTAATCATTTTCGTTTGTAGTCTACAATGGGTGAGGGTTGAAATGCTTTATTAGCCTATAATGGATAATAATTTAATGAACAATTTGGAAACGCTAAGATTATCAAACTTTTGAACTTAGCATATAAGTAAACCCTCATGGTCCAAACTTAAGTTAAAGCCATGCCTTCTTTTATGTTAGAAAATTCTCAATAGGATATATGATAGGACATTTATTTTGCTTATAAATTTATATATTTTCTTTGCATACTAACCCTTTACGTTATTTTTTGTATATATTATATTGTTCTTTGTATGTTTACTAACCTCTTTTCTTTTATTGTATCTGTATGCATTTACA